CAGCACTCTGCCCCAGCAACCACCCGAAATCGCCCACATTTGGGGTGTAGATGAGAAGCAGCCATGGGTTGGAGGGCTGGCAGCCTGGCTGGTCGCCGTCACCACCGGTTTGGGGCTTCCCAGATGGGAAGGTGCACATCCTTCAGCTTCAGGATAACATTAGTGGTGGGTGTCTCTGGGCACGTACACATGCATGCTCTGCAAGGTTTGTTGCCAGAATATGGAAAGAGAGGAAATGGCCAAGCGCGTGTTGGTGGAGAGATGTGTTTGAGAGCTTCACGGCATGCTGGTAATCTGGTACAGGCTGTCAGTCAACAGCTTGCTGGGGTTTCCATCTGGGAAAATGTAAGGGGATGTCAGATTTTCCTGGGCGTGCATTTAAACGGCACTGAAGGGTTTCCCTCATTGAGATGCCTCTGTAAGACCCCCTGAGCAAGTCGGGAGTATACGTGCTCAGAGATGCTCGACAGTGAGACAAGCTGCAGACTGGAGGCACATCTTAAGCTGGTACTTTTTTGATCTCTGTTAGAGGTAGGGGAATTAGTATTTTTTATTAACCAGGAGAGGTTAACTCTGAGGGACTGCTTTTGACACACAATCTTCATTTTCTTGCCGCTCATCAGTTTCTGGGGCTATATAAAATAATGTGTCTAACAATATACAACAAAGTGCTTTGAATAGAGTTTATGAAATATAGATTATGGTGGTTTTCCATGGCATGACAAAGAAATACATTTTGTTGTGCTCATGTTTATGCCTATATACAGCTGGAGCATCCCTGAAAATATGTGTTATTTTGGCACTTAATTTTAAAGAGCTGCTACAACACATAGATGCCTGTTGCTGTTCCAAGAGATGAGCAGGAGAGTGAAGGGGATATGTTCACGCCCTGTGTCAAGCTCAGGGGCAGAGGGACTGGGGATCCTATGCGACTCCTGCTCAGCTCCCACCTCACACACGGTTGCTGTAGTGCTTCTTAACTATTTTGGCAAATCAGACCCAGAACGATTATTTTTGCCCTGGAGCAGCTGGGAACTGCCTCCTGTGGCTCAAAATGGGGGGATAAAACTTACTGTTGACTACCAGTTCACAACCTGCTTTCTGGCCTGTGTCCCTCCCAGGCTTGGCTCCCTGGTGTGTGCGGGTAAGCAGGAGCACCTTTGTAATTGTACATGGCAGCAGCATTTCTCCCTCATGGCAGGAATGGCTTTTTACCCTATTAGTTGTATTTTGCCTTAAAAAAACCCCAACAGCATATCTAATCTCTCTGTTTTAAAGGAGACTCTGTGAAGGATGGAGGTACTGTCCCAGCTTTATCCTCCTGCAAGTGATGATTGATCTAATCTGCTTTTCTTAAATACTTCTGTAGTTTACTCTTTTGTATTTTGAATCTGGATCAATTATTAGGTGCATCAAAAGTATATGTTCAAAACCTGTGCTGTAAAGCTGAGGCACAGAGAGATTAATGCCTTATTATAATAATGGATTATTAATGATCCATGTTTATACCCACGTTTGCTTTGGGACTTCAAGTCCTTCCTCAGGTCAGGGCGCTCTCCCCCTCCAAGTACTGTTTCTGCATTGGCTGCACTGCTGGTTGGATACCGATGGCAAAAAATCTGCACTGCTGCACCCCCCGACTGATGTAGGATAGTCTCACTTTCAGTATACGACTTGATTTGAGGCAATCTGTAACCGATTTCTTTTTTTTTTGTTGAGGGGAGATGACCTATCAGGACCGTACAGAGCTGCAAAAGCCAAGCCAGGCCATGCAATGGTTGGGAGGATTGACACTGGGCAGTGACTTTCCCTGGTTTCCCAGATTTTGTGGCAGAGCAGGCTGGGAGGAGCAGGGTTGCATGTACCTTCTGCCACATATCAGGCAGGCAGCAGAGGCCCAGGTGTGAGCTGGAACAAGGAGATGTTTTGTGTAACAGAGGACCAGAGGGGATTTCTTTTTTTAAGACAGAAATTAAATGCTTGGAATTACTATGAGATAAATTTAAAGGATCAACATTATTTCTTCTAAGTTTGCTTTTAAGATTTTATTTATCCAAAAGAATTGATTTCCATAGCAATATCAAAAGCTGGGAGTAGTTACTGCAATGGTTTGGTTGTACAAAATTAATCTTATTCGAATAGAACCTGCAGCCCCGGCTTACGTCTGGGCTGGCTTCACCCCCGTTGAATCCTCTTGCAAGAGCAGGCTCCAGGTGTTCTGTCTCCTTACAGCAACAAATGGCTGAATTAGCTTTCATGAAACGTTTAATGGGTGTGCAACATGAAATGCCAGTGTTGCAGTATATAGCTTTATTAGCTGAGCTGCTGGAATTGTTTTCTGAGCTATGTTGATCCTTAGCACCGATTGTGAAATGGAACAGAAATTATTTATTAGTCCTCGGGAGCCTTAAGACAGAATAATACTTATTTGGCTGGAAACACAGTCAATCTTGTTATAGATGCTGCTGCTTTTAAGGAAAAAACAAACAAACTGATTTTGTGATCGGTAGCAAACATTTTTGAAGTCTTCTGGCAGGGACAGGCGTGCGTTTCCCTGAAGGGTGGAGATATGTGTATGGCAGATCTCGAGGTTGTTCCGAATAAAACTTAAATATGAACTAGGACAGGGCTTTGTATTTCAAAAAGAAAGATGTGCCATCCCCTAACAGCAGTAGTTAATCCTTCCAGGTGTTCCCAGTCCAGCAGAGCTGTGTCAGGTCCCAGTGGGACCATGTCTTTCCATCTTGGGAATCCCCAAAAATGGTTATTAAAAGTATTATAAACAAAATCTTGTTTAGATATGTTTTACTCTTAAGTGGTAAGGTTTTATGAGAAAACTTTCAAAATGTGAATGTTCATGCTTTAAATTAAGCCTTGAAATGAGGTAGTAGTTTTTATTTTAAAACACAAGCAAACCAGCCAGTTTTGTTTTTCTGCAACACAGTGTAATGAATATGTGTCAACTATTTCAAGTTTTTAAACTTAGTGAGGACTTTGAAATTTTACTTTTAACAGGTCATAGAAAGAAATATCCCTTACAATATTTCCTTTGGTATCTAGACCACATGTGTATATGGAAAAGCAGTCCTATGCAGTGCCTGTTCAGCTTTGGTCCATGCTTTTTAGCTGCTGGAAACACGAACACCCAAAAATTATCTGATAAAACCTTCATCGCGTGAATGGCTCGCCATGAAACCAGCTCTTGCTATCCCTCCCCGGTGGGGGGTTACAGTTCAGGAGGAACAGATTTCTGCTGCTGTTTTTAGGGCAGAGGGAGTTTCCTTTGGAGAAAACTTTGAGCAGTTCATGGGTTTCTGGCTGCCTCCCGAAGCCCTTCACTAAGAGGCTGCTTGAAGCTCGAATCGCCCTGGCACAAGAGCAGATTGCTCTGCAGCAGAGAGACTGCAGCAGGGAACAGGGATGAGAATTGTTCCCATTTCTATTAAAAAAAAAGGGGGGGGGAATGTAGTAAGTAAACAGTCAATAATAGTAGTATTCAAAAACCTAATTTTTTTTATATTTAAAAAAAGGACCTGCATCATTCAAAAGAGCATTTTTTAGCCAATTTTACTGATTATGTCTCCAGTCATGGAGAGTTTTGTTGATATTGATCTAATCTAGGAGTGTGAATGGCTCCAGAAATGCTATTCTGGTCTGGCTCATGTTTTGCCTAATATAATGCCCATTTCAAAAATTTGGATATATTCAGATTAATTTGCTTGCAGGTAAGAACAACCCACAAGGTGTTAGTAATCAGGAAAAGTAAGTGCATGCAAAAAAAGCCCAGCCCCACACTTGACCATTTAAGTAGCATTGCTGTCCTAGTAGGCTGAGAGCAGTGTGAAAAACTGCTGTTGTAAAATGCTGCTTCTGTGTTTCTTTTCCGCATTCATTTTTGTTATTGCCTGATGCACGGCAAGGTAATAGACTGAGGAGAGCTGTGATTCTGCAGTAGCTTTGAACTGGACTTCAAAATTTAGAATAGAGTAGTATAATATTAAAGGACATCTTCTGAAAACGAACTCCTAACTCATGTGACACATCTCCATCATACGTTCAGATCACAGTCTGGTGACTTGTGGAAAGACGCTATGTTTTTTGCTATTGACTTTCCCCTATTTAATTGCATAAAGCTGGGAAGAGCTAGGGTCTTAAGGAAAGTGATGGGGAAAACAACGTTGGGTACAAGCCTTCTGGTCAGGTTGCTCTTGGTTTGTCCAACAGACCCTTCTGAGCATCAGCTGAATAGGGAAAGTGTTGGATTACCCAGGTCAGCTTGGATGCATGAGTCTTTCCAGCCTCATGTCCTTCAGTCTGTGGCTGGCACATCCCTATTCAATGTCCGACTCTGTCATTGGCAGAGCTAGTAGGGACTTTGCTGAGACCTGGGTTCTGGGGTCAACTAGTTTTGCACTTTTCGTGCATTTCTGCATTTTCAGCCTTTCTGCACATTTGGCAGTAAATACCAGCACTTCATCCCATTTGGTGAGATGTGAATTGCTGAGATTATCGTGGACCATATTTGTACCTTCCCACCTCTGCTGCAAGTAACTTGTGCTGGGTTTTTTTGCAGGACCCAATCCTGTGAATAATTCATATTTTTGTTACAATTACCTGTATCCCTGTATACAAACCTTATTTCCTTCTCTGTTCCTGTGCCCCTCTTCTGTACTGATTCTGATTGTGTTTAGCTGCTGGAAACACAACACCCAAAAATTATCTGATAAAACCTTATACAGATTACCTGTATCCCTGTATACAAACCTTATTACAATTACCTGTATCCCTGTATACAAACCTTATTTCCTTCTCTGTTCCTGTGCCCCTCTTCTGTACTGATTCTGATTGTGTTTAGCTGCTGGAAACACAACACCCAAAAATTATCTGATAAAACCTTATACAGATTACCTGTATCCCTGTATACAAACCTTATTTCCTTCTCTGTTCCTGTGCCCCTCTTCTGTACTGATTCTGATTGTGTGTCCTGTGGTTTCTTGCAGTGTGTGCTGGCACCGAGAACAAGCTGAGCTCCCTCTCTGACCTGGAGCAGCAGTATCGGGCCCTGCGCAAGTACTATGAGAACTGTGAGGTAGTTATGGGCAACCTGGAAATCACCAGCATTGAGCACAACCGAGACCTCTCCTTCCTGCGGGTAAGCAATCCTTTTCTCGTGGGAAGTAGCCACGGATGGCTCCCACCAGCTCCACTGCAATATAAGAGGATAATAAAATGTCACAGATGTGCAGAGAACAAGAGCAATGGCATTGCTGTGACAGATGTTCTGAGTACGCATCGTTTAGGTTTACCCAGAACTTTGGGGAGAAAGCCATGTCACTATGCGGAAAGGTGACACCTTGCAGGTCTCTATCACTGTGTGTTGCCAGCAGGTACGGAGGAGGTAAGGTAAGGTTTAGGAAGGTCAGAGAATCATGCAGATAAGCACTGGAGGCTTGGAGAAGCTAATCCTAATAAAATGCTATATACGGGCTGGTTGATAGACTATGCAAGGGAAGAACTCTGGGCAACATTTGTGGAGCGTTTAAGAAAAAAGAAAAAAAAGTTGGTTGCTGAATGAACATAAAACCCTCTGTGTACGAGACTGGAGATATGAGCCGAATTGAACTTCCAGCATCCAGAGGAGGGAGATCTGTGACAGATGAAGGCTGTCCAGCCACTGTGGAGCCTGGGTTGTGTGCTCCCTCAGCCCTCCCTACTTCAAAGTTTGAGTAACTATCATGCTTTTGGGTTTGTGAAGGAATGTTTCAGTGTGGTTTGTGCGTTCCCTGTTAACATGCTCACAATCATAAAGAAGGAAAGGTGAATGCCGAATTAAAAGAATTTAAGCCCACCATTATTTGGCGTTCCAAAACTAATTATGTTTGAAGAAATATCCCAGTAAAGGAGTGATCCAGTGCACTCAGGTGGGCATCTGAGGATGCTGCAGGCGATGTGGCTGCAACATGGAAGAAACTGGTATGTAGTATGAGGGCCATGGTAGAAAAGGCAGCCCATGGCAGTGTGGTTGCAGGCTGTGCTGGTCATACTCTCCAATAGAAGAAGTCAAGCTGTGACACAGATAAGGGTTTACACTGCTCGTATCATATGGCATCACTCACATATATTTCTGCAAAATGTTAATGTCATGTTTCAAGATGCATATCTGTATGTAACTGGCATTTTCATAAAAAGCACACGGGGGAGTGGCAGCTTTAAATCCAGCAGCAGGAAGAGGGTGGCAGGAGTCAGCCCCAGCAGGTTGTGTTACACTCAGTCATTTGGTTTGCCGGGTCTTGGGTGAACCTAGTGCTCAATTTCAGTTTGTAAAAATGTGAACTTTCCATTACAGGTTCTAACGAAGGCAAAGCTGATTAACCAACAGCATGTTTAGCTCTGCTTCATGTTAAATTTGTTCGGGATTTCACAGGATTTCCATTCTATATGTTGGCCTATATTTACTCAAAGCGTATACCAGGCTGCTAAAAGATCTGCAAGCAAAATTCAGCTACCAGATATGTCTGGAGTAGTTTGGGGTGCTAATTGCACTCAGACTAACAGGTTGCCTGTTAATTTGAGTGATGAATGCCTAGGAAGTAAATGCTATCTATACATTTCACAGTTGTGACAGGTGGGGAAATCACATAAGCTTGTGCTGCACAACACCCAAAAATTATCTGATAAAACCTTATACAGATTACCTGTATCCCTGTATACAAACCTTATTTCCTTCTCTGTTCCTGTGCCCCTCTTCTGTACTGATTCTGATTGTGTTTAGCTGCTGGAAACACAACACCCAAAAATTATCTGATAAAACCTTATACAGATTACCTGTATCCCTGTATACAAACCTTATTTCCTTCTCTGTTCCTGTGCCCCTCTTCTGTACTGATTCTGATTGTGTGTCCTGTGGTTTCTTGCAGTGTGTGCTGGCACCGAGAACAAGCTGAGCTCCCTCTCTGACCTGGAGCAGCAGTATCGGGCCCTGCGCAAGTACTATGAGAACTGTGAGGTAGTTATGGGCAACCTGGAAATCACCAGCATTGAGCACAACCGAGACCTCTCCTTCCTGCGGGTAAGCAATCCTTTTCTCGTGGGAAGTAGCCACGGATGGCTCCCACCAGCTCCACTGCAATATAAGAGGATAATAAAATGTCACAGATGTGCAGAGAACAAGAGCAATGGCATTGCTGTGACAGATGTTCTGAGTACGCATCGTTTAGGTTTACCCAGAACTTTGGGGAGAAAGCCATGTCACTATGCGGAAAGGTGACACCTTGCAGGTCTCTATCACTGTGTGTTGCCAGCAGGTACGGAGGAGGTAAGGTAAGGTTTAGGAAGGTCAGAGAATCATGCAGATAAGCACTGGAGGCTTGGAGAAGCTAATCCTAATAAAATGCTATATACGGGCTGGTTGATAGACTATGCAAGGGAAGAACTCTGGGCAACATTTGTGGAGCGTTTAAGAAAAAAGAAAAAAAAGTTGGTTGCTGAATGAACATAAAACCCTCTGTGTACGAGACTGGAGATATGAGCCGAATTGAACTTCCAGCATCCAGAGGAGGGAGATCTGTGACAGATGAAGGCTGTCCAGCCACTGTGGAGCCTGGGTTGTGTGCTCCCTCAGCCCTCCCTACTTCAAAGTTTGAGTAACTATCATGCTTTTGGGTTTGTGAAGGAATGTTTCAGTGTGGTTTGTGCGTTCCCTGTTAACATGCTCACAATCATAAAGAAGGAAAGGTGAATGCCGAATTAAAAGAATTTAAGCCCACCATTATTTGGCGTTCCAAAACTAATTATGTTTGAAGAAATATCCCAGTAAAGGAGTGATCCAGTGCACTCAGGTGGGCATCTGAGGATGCTGCAGGCGATGTGGCTGCAACATGGAAGAAACTGGTATGTAGTATGAGGGCCATGGTAGAAAAGGCAGCCCATGGCAGTGTGGTTGCAGGCTGTGCTGGTCATACTCTCCAATAGAAGAAGTCAAGCTGTGACACAGATAAGGGTTTACACTGCTCGTATCATATGGCATCACTCACATATATTTCTGCAAAATGTTAATGTCATGTTTCAAGATGCATATCTGTATGTAACTGGCATTTTCATAAAAAGCACACGGGGGAGTGGCAGCTTTAAATCCAGCAGCAGGAAGAGGGTGGCAGGAGTCAGCCCCAGCAGGTTGTGTTACACTCAGTCATTTGGTTTGCCGGGTCTTGGGTGAACCTAGTGCTCAATTTCAGTTTGTAAAAATGTGAACTTTCCATTACAGGTTCTAACGAAGGCAAAGCTGATTAACCAACAGCATGTTTAGCTCTGCTTCATGTTAAATTTGTTCGGGATTTCACAGGATTTCCATTCTATATGTTGGCCTATATTTACTCAAAGCGTATACCAGGCTGCTAAAAGATCTGCAAGCAAAATTCAGCTACCAGATATGTCTGGAGTAGTTTGGGGTGCTAATTGCACTCAGACTAACAGGTTGCCTGTTAATTTGAGTGACGAATGCCTAGGAAGTAAATGCTATCTATACATTTCACAGTTGTGACAGGTGGGGAAATCACATAAGCTTGTGCTGTGAAATACATAGCCTTGGTGCAGCTGGACTAACGTTTCCCACCACATTAGACAGGCAGCAGATAGATATCTCCTGCACGGGCAAGATCCCCACACTGATTCAGGCATCGCTGGAGTTTCAGATGCTTCCTGAAACCCCTGACTGGGCCATCGTGCATGGCTAGAATTCGTCATGGATGGTTCTCCTGCTTTGGCTTTCCTTCCTTCTTACGCTGCC